AGTATTTAGCTATTAATAGTTAATATAAAATTATAGACTATTATTTTTCTTTTTAATAAATAAAACTAGTAATAAGAAAAGAAATTCAAATAGCTTAATAAAATACTTTCTTATTTTTTTTTAAATTTATTAGAGCTTATCTTATAAAAATAGGCTATTTTTATTAAGAGATCTGGTTTATTAAAATAGAACCTATAATTAAAGAATTAAAACTAAGAAAGCTTATTTATTATTACTTTTTTAAAAAATATTCTAGTTATATTATATAGCTATATAGAAAGAAATACCCGAAGTTTTTAAAGTTCTTTAGAATTAAAAAATAATATATTACTAAAAGTATTAGATTTATTTATATCTAGGAAATATATTAGATTACTAGTTTAAATATAGTACTCGGCAGGCTATAATATTAGTTATCTAATTATTATAAGTAGTAATAAATATCTCTTTAATTTATAATTCTATTTCTTAAATATATAATTAATCTTATTAATAGTAACTAATCCGATTAAGTTACTAGAGTTTTTAGTACTTAATTAGAAAGTAACTACTTTAATAAAATAGTAAAAATAATCTAGTAGCTTACCTATTTTAAGAGTATTAAAATCTAGTTCTTTCTTTCTTATCTAGTATTCGGCTTTTCTTATAAGAAGGTCTTATAAAAGAATAAGAAATATGTTTTTTTACTTTTCGGGTCTAGTTTTATTAGTTCTTTTTAAGATTCTAGTTAGAGTATTTTCGGGATAATTATCTTTTTAATATTTCTTATTAAAATATTAAATTTTCTAAATAAGATCTAGCTAATTTACTTTATAGTTCTCTGGCTAATAGAATTAATTCCATTAATAGTTTAGTAAAATATTATATTTTACTAGCTATTTCCTTTCTAGAATTATATTATAAGAGCCAAGATTAGTAATAAGCAGGTATTATTAAGTTTAGAAATACTAATTAATAGCTAGATTTATAATAACTAGATATTAAATAGCTTTACTAGATTATTTATTAAAATATTATAAGAAAATAGGGATTTTGAGTTTATATAAGGGCATTTATAATACTTTTATTAAGAGGCAAATATACTTTTAGTTAATTAAAGTATATATATTTATTCTAGTATTTATTAAATATTAGAAAGTTATAGTTTTACCTTTCTAGCTTATTCTATAATTAATAAGGAACTAGTTCCCGCTAATTAGCTAAATAAGATCTATAGGTCCTTAGTAAAGTTCTTATTCTAGGAGAACTATTTCTATATCTAGAGCTAGACTTTTTCTAACTTATTAATATTATATTTCTTATTAAATAATAAATAAAAGTTAGTATTCTTATTATTTATTTCTAAATTATTAGCTTTTTCTAAATAATTCTCTTTAATAAATATAACCTTATTAAAGTCAGGACAGGTACTTTTTATATATCTAGGTTTTCTATAGCTATAATAATAAAGACTCTCTGGCTAGTCTAATTTCTTTTTAAATTTTTGGTAAACTACCTTTTTTAGCTATAAAAATACTGGTTACTAAGATTAATTTATTAAATATAGGGTTATTATAACTCTTTAGATCCTAATAGGCTTTCTAGCCCGAGATAGTATTTAATAGTAAATAGTTTCTATTAGTTATTTCTTCTGAAATTACTTATTCTTAATTAAAAGAAGCCTATTCTCTTATTCTATATATTATTTAGTAAAGTTCCTAGATATATTAAACTTCTTATTACCCAAGTTCTTAAATAACTCGAGATTTATTTTATTTATTAAATTATTATATTAATTATCCGGTAACTTCTCTAGTTTTATTATTAAATAAATAAACTTTATCTAAAATACCGGAAATAGCTTATTTCTTTATTTCAGATACTAGTATATTTCTTTTATTTCCTAGTATTTTATTTCTTTACTTTTATTATAAGCTTACTAGAGAATCTTAAAGATCTATTTAATAATCGAGATCTATTTAACTAATACAGATTCTAGTTAATTATAGATAAAGTTACAAGTATTTCTAGTAACTAGTTATATTATATAAGTAATTTTTAGTAATTTGCTATTAAATTCAAAGAAATTCTATATTAGTTTATTTCTTATATTAAATATCTAATTATTAATCTAGTAATTATTCTTATTTATAAATAAAGTAGAATCCTTAATTCTAATAAGTTATAGTTAATTACTATAAACTAAAAGCAAAAGTAAGTTTTAGTATTAGCTCTTAAATAATTCTTCTAATAAGAACCTATAGTATTTCTAGATATTTATTTATTTAGATCTTTACTTTATTACTTCTTTTTATACTAGTTTTTCTCTTATATAAAGTTAACTAGTAATTACTTCTAGCTTATTAATTTTCTTAGTAAGTTAGTTAATATATAAATAGAATTTCTAGTAATATTTTACTTATTTATTAGCTATAAGGTAATATTTATTAATAAGGTTATCTTATATAAATAATCTTTATTAGGCCTTATTTATTTTTAGAATATTTATACTAATTTTGAATTCTAAATTAGTTAGCTATTTCTTAATATCTTCTTCCGAAATAGTATTATAATAGCTTTCCTAATAATATAGGTTTATAATATTAAAGTCCGGCTCTTCTATTTTATTATACTAGGGCCTTTATCTAATATATTTATAGTAGTAATACTTGGTCCCGGGCTATCTATAATAGCTTTAAAAGAGATATTAGTTATAGAAATAAGTACTAAATAAGTTCTTCTTATTTAATATTAGTAAATTATAACTAATTATTATCTTATCTAGTTTTAAGTTAATAGACTAAAACTAATTATTATTTTTTCTTATTTTAAATTAGTAAATTATTACTAATTCTTCTTATATTAGGAAAAAAAGCTAGTTCTTTTACTCTTATTAGTATTAAGGGAATATTATCTATTCTAGTTAAGAGTTAGGCTCCGAGATTAACCGGATTATAGAGAATAATATCTTTTTTCTTTTATATTAGTAGAGAACTAATTACTAGAAGAGAAATATTATCTATACTAGTTAAGAGTCAGGCTCCGAAATTAACTAGGTTATAGAGAATATTATACTTCTAGTTAAGCTCTCTAGTTCTTTATAGTTCAAGGAGATTATTAAATATTAAAAGTAATATTCTGTCTTTACTTTCTAAGAATAAATACGGATCCTTTACTAGTAGTATTATATTGCCTCTATAGGCCAAGTCGAGTAAGCTTAATATTATATAATAGCAGGATTAATATAATAGTCAAAGACTCAAAGTTCAAAGAATCTCATATATTAGAAAATACTAAGCTATAGAACAAAGTAGGAAGGATGCCTCGACCTTTAGTATTATTCCGCCCAAGCAATTCCGGCTTAGCTTCGTTTTGTGCCTGTTTCCGATATCCTGTCCTTGGCAGATCATGCCCTTACGCTAGCCGTCACAGCCACTATAATTACCCGATCTTAATCTAATTGAAAATCTGTGGAAGTATATTAAGGATTTGATTGCTATACAAAGGCACATGGTCAAAAACACAAAGGAGATAAAACAGACATTGCAGATAATATAGCACCAGATTAATAGAAGCTTTCTCTTAAAACTCTGTAATTCTGTACCAAGAAGATAGGCAGCTTGCCTTAAAAATAAGGGAGGAGCAACTAAATACTAAATAGCTTCAATTTGAGCCTATTTGGGCTAGTTAATTTTAAAAATTGGGTGAAATATATTTGAGCCAAAATGGGGGTGTGAAAATGTTACGTGACGAAGACTTATCTGACCTGATTGTACCTTTAACAAAAACATTCACGCGCATTGTTTACAAAGCTGATTTGGTGATATTAATTCAGCATTTAGATCTTCGTGTATCGGTGTAAGGTCAAGAAGGAAATCTAATCCATGGTTGCGGGCTCGCAAATATACCGGCAGTGAAGCTCGGTTCAAATTGGTTGCAAACAAAAGTTGGGCGTACATGCAGAGGCCGCCACGTAGTCAAAGTGGTGGTTTGAATTCAGCTGCCACATGGCTTTTTCAATCGTAGAAATGAGATACTTGACTCATTAACAAGGCATCGAAATGCACAATCAAGAAAGGGGCAGGAAGGCTACTTCACGTCCTCAACGCAGGTGCTGTTTGTTGGATCTAGACGTACTCAGAGTTGTGTGCTGAAGCCTTTTCACCTCTATAGTAATCAGATCGCATAAATTCATACTTTGTATTATTGGTCATGCAAGCTTGGTTTCTTTGTCAGTGATGGCGCGATAAGCTGTCAGGTTTGGGGTTACAGAACATGCTGGCTCCGCACAGCCTTGCCTTAAATTGCCACGCTATTAGCCCTGATAGGCCCCCATAGACTACATTGGGCACAAATGCTTTATTTATAGTGTTATACTTGCTGCGCATATATCAGATGTGCAGGAGAGCCTCACTCTCAGTTTTGCAATGATCGGTGTTCAGATGCCTGACGTTTTGGTTGTTATAATGGACGTGTTTCTTTATCTCCATCTCCTCCTATGACTATTCGATACCCGAAAGGGAACTTGCGTTTCTTTTAAAGGCTCTCACGGTGAAGCTATGTCGTCGGAAGAAATAAGGCCCCCAGGGCCTACCGCCGTCTCCAGTTTATACGCTACAAATTATGACGAGGCTGAGAGAGCCTTGCCAGACCCACAACTGGCGACCTGGCGAGCTTCTTTAAGATCAAGCTGTTCCAACGGAGCTTATGCGGCAGAAACACTTCGTGGAACAATATCTTATACAGGTTACTTCACATTTCCGACACCCTTGTCTGGCAGCACTGATTTCCTTGAAAGATCACGTGAGATCATTTTTCAGATTCCTCAGCGCCCTCAATATGACCTATATATCACATCTATCGAAGAAAATTTCGACACCTTACGCATCTAATGGAACTGGACATGAACAACATGAGGGCTCTATTGAAATTCTTTATAAAAAATTCAAGAATGAACCCAGTAGGCTTCCCATGATCTAAAGGCTGCCAAAACCATCGCTGAAACATTTACTAGTCGATAGCTACCCACCAGGTTGGCCGCAGTTAGCTGCATTCATGCATAGCGAAGATAATTTTGCTATTTTCAGACGTTTCGGACTTGCACACTGTCGTATACTTGTCCAACTCCAAGCAGAGATCCAACTCTTAGAAAAGAAACTCTCTGCCTTGGACCAGTCTGATGCCAGCCCTGGATCCCCAAACGCTTGGAGGCTTCTAACGGCAGAATTCAAAGAAGGCTGGGATTCTGAGAAGAGGGATCTAGTAACAGAACTTGGAGAAAAACTTTTGCGGTATGGTAAGAGCCACGCTCATACTTCTGTTAAACAGTCCTTGACAACGAACCAGACGCACTGCTATTGAATGAACAAAAGCTTCGAGAATTTGGACACGCCCCAAGAAAGGATCACCTCAGTGTTTTTCATTGGATTATGGCACGAAAGCCTCTTGGGAAAAGTCAATATGACTGGATCTACTGCATTGATGACTTCGTTTCCTTGTCCAGACCTGATCCCTTCAAGTCTTCTATCCTCGCATCGTGTCTCAAGGTCTGTTTGAGCTAATTTAGTCTCACATATAGCTAACCCAAGGACAGTGGTTCTTTAGAGATAGTGACAAAAACTCAAAAAGTTCAATCGTGGAACACTACTCAGATACGAAGATCTTTGTAGTCGCCAAAATCTTTACTATATTACTCGCCGTCGGAATTTTAATCATTCCAGTATTCATTCTTCTTTGGATTCCCAAGAAGACACAGGCTTGCATTTCTGCTACCGTCTTGATATCTGTATTAGTTTTCTCAACGCTTATATCTCTCTTTACTAAGGCGGGGGTCCAAGAAGTCCTTGTCGGAACTGCAGCGTGAGCATTCTCGAGGCGCAATTTTTATTCGACACTAACAAGAACTTAGATATTGTGCTGTCCTTATGACATTTTTAGGAAATATAGAGGGAAATTCGGGCTAATATATCTCAATATAAAAGAGTTATGTATTTTTCTCTTTTATAGCTCTGTTGTAATAGAGGAAGAGAATAGAAACCATGGAACTTAAAGTTACGGTATTGCGGTAATAGTAGGGTTATACTGCTTTAACTTCATGTCAATTATAAGTAATAGTAAGTCGGGAAAGATTTATTTATTTAGATCTAGTGATTCTTTTCGGCCAAATATTGTTAATATCTCGGAACCCTAAGACAATATGTCAGTTGGATGTCACGTGTGACTGCATTTGGTCTAGCTTAGGCTTGATATATCTTCAGTTCCTACACCATCTAGCTAGCTCCTCCTTAGACAATAATACCACATCTTTTGCACCCTCAAAAATGACCAATTGCACACTGCATGCATGCATCCGACACAATACTCCTGGGTCAGTCGGCCTATTGGGGGAATATGTGCTATTAATCGTTTTTACTCTGTATTTTAATATATCAAATCGGTGTACCCAGGATTCGTACACTTCAAGTAGAAGTACTACAATGCGGAGTAGTTAGGTTTGTGGTACCCAAACTCGGTATACTCTTGGCTGAAGGAGGGATCCGAAATCGGTCCTAGGGAGCGAGAACGGATACCTACCCCTATCACCTTGATAGGTTAAAAGGGTGGCTGTGATTTAGACAACAGGCATCAGCAAGATCTATATTTAGACAACATGGAAACTGTAATTGATTCTCCAAAGGAGCCAGAAGAGGATCCCCTGAGCATGATCCAGCTGACATATCAGCGTGGTCAGGGTTCAGGGTTCGGCTCGGATTAGAGCAGCGACTGCTCAGGTCCAAGGACAGAAGTGGACTTTGGAGCGGTCCAGTTTCGGCGCAGATTATATCGGTATTCCAAGGACTTCAAACAGTTCGTCCTGAGGCAGGAACGCTAGTCTTGGGCAAGTGAACACCATATTTGAGCCGCTAATATCTGCTTAAGAGTTAGTCTCAGTTATTGCAAGCAGGATAGTTTGCCAAGCCTCCATGTGCATATGCGGCCTTGTGCATGAACGAAATGACTTCCAGCATCTGGGTGGTAATTTTGAGGATAGTTTCCGGATCAAGTTGGTCCCCGCCCTCGTGATAGTCATTGGTGATAGTGTCAACAGACGGACCAAGCAATTCGAAAACAAGACATTGGTGGCATCCGTTGAGGCCATAATGCACGAAGTCATCGAGTTGTCTGATGATATGATGTATTGCCATCTTCTCTTGCAATGCCCGTAAGACCCCGAGCTCACGATCATTCTCAGTGCTATCGGCACTCTTGACTTTAATTGACACCCACATCTCTAATCTGGGTCTCATCTGTAAGCAAGAGCCTATAGAATGTATTAATGTGCAGTAGAGTAGCAACACTCCATCCCACGCAAGCCAGACGGTTGAGAATCCTCCCCAACCGAGTTTGTGACATACTTTGTAGCGATTCTCCTTGAAGGTGTCACCAAGGCGTACAGGATGGAATCCGCCGGGCCCGTATCGCGACATCTTCTCCTGATTGTAGAGTAGGTTGGATGAGCGGTAGATGGATAGGTCGTTCATAGCCTTATTGCTATTTTGGGTAAGAAGGGTAGTAGGTGTCGTTTGAGTGGGAAGCCTGCGATGTTAACGAAGGTTAATATTGAGGTAATAGGGAAAAAGTAAAACGACCCCCCTTCCCCCCCCCACCAGGTGTCGATTGGGGGCCACTAACCCAAAGTAGAGGCGCTCTGACAGGAACACCAAAAACTCAGCTTTCTCTTTAAATTTAAAAGAATTTATAAAGAATTTATAAGGAATTTATAAGGAATTAATGGAATTTAATACTTTCTTTATTTCCTTATAGTACTAATTAAGCGCTATTTAAGTAGGTTTTTTTTAATAAATAGAATCTGAATTAGTAATAGCTCTTTAAATTAAAGAAGTTAAAGATTTCATATTTTATAGTCTAAAGGTGAGCTTAAGAAAGCCTAGAAATTTAGCGACTAAGTCCCTAAAACTAGCTATAAGAGCCTTACAAGCCCCTAATTTACAGGGCCTTATAAGGCTTAAAAACTAAAACTTAATTAAATAATATATAAAGTCCCTTAAATTAAAAATTTATTTTAAGGAATCTTCTTATTATCCCTTCGTCTGGCAAGACATGGTCCGTACTAGCGGCCGCACACGAATATCCCTTGTTAGGTAAGAATACAACCATCTCCTCCAATCAATCTATCCGCATGATGCGGCCGCTAGTACGGACCATTTCTTGCCAGACGAAGAGATAAGTTAAGAAGCACGTGATTATAATACTAGGGTTATAATATTCTAGCTTATACTTATATTAACAAATCTAACTTAAGATTTTTAAAGAGCTTAGGTAGCCAATTACAAGCCGTTAATACCCCTGCCCCAATCGATACCCTAATCGACACCTGGTGGGGGGAAAGGGGGGTCGTTTTACTTTTTCCCAGAAAAGGAGTCCTAGACCAATACGAAACATATGAGCATTGGTTAAGCTCCCAACGCCACAACCTTCGCACAAGCCCAGCGGCACAGAGACTTCACCTCCTTCCAGGTCCGTCCGCTTCCAAATTCACAAGAACGATCTCAATTTTGCTCCATCACAGCTTGTATCAACGAGCTTCACGTGACCCCGAAATTTTGTGGTGCTCAATGTCCACGACAGATCCGCAAAGCAAAGCAATGAAATCTATGCCATGGCGTTCATTAGCAATGGATCATTCTTTCCCGAAACAGCATCAGTATGTACTCGAGCTGATAATAGCCTTGGTCCATCTATCATCCAATAATGTCGAGGGGGCTTTGATTTTACACTCCTGTTCGAGCAATCCCTCTTTTCCTTGGCACCATCCATTTTACTCCTTTTGGCTGTACCTTTGCGATTGATCAAGCTAGTTGGAATGGACGTGAAAACAATACCTAGTCGTCTTCACTATGTGAAACTGATTAGTCACGGCCTATGGATGCATGCAACGGATATGTTTACTTAATTTGACTTAGACTTCTTTAACTATGCTCGGGTGCCTTCAACTCACACTTCTCGTGCTCTGGAGTCTCGACCCAACAACTAAAACGAGGGTTACTGTTGCTTCGGCTACATTTGCTCTAGTTGATGTTGCAATTATTTGCGTTCTATCCCATTATGAACATACCAGATCAGTCAGGCCGGCTTCAATCCTCATTGTATATTTCTTGATTTCTTCGCTGTTTGATGGAGTACAGACAGAACTCTGTGGCTGAGAAAGAGCGAGCACCCAATTGCATCTATTTTCATCGAATGCACTGTGCTTAAAGTCAGCCTTTGTTGTGTCGCGCTAAGCTAAGTCACGTGCGACACAATAGCCTTTTTGCTATCGAGTCTCACAGCAAATCCTCCATTCTTAAGTGACCTGACATGTGGAAAGCACCGGAAGCCACGAGCGGTATTTTCAGCAGGAGTACGTTTTGGTGGCTCAATCCACTTTTTTGGGTTGCTTTCCGGGAAACCTTGACGTTGAACCATCTGTTCGATCTTGATGCTGAGCTGAACTTAGAAGGATTGAGCCAAAGGTGTATTCAAGCATGGGATGAAGGTAAGCGAAACCACAATTAGGTTCAACTATCTGACATCATTAGTAAATAAAAAGAACCAATCTGCGTTAATGATGACTCTATGGTCAAAATTGAAATGGAATTTTCTCGCACCTATTCCAGCTCGGCTATTCTCATAGGATTTAATTACTCCCAGCCATTCTTGATCACAAGGGCGGTGGACTTTGTTTCCCAACCTGAATTGCCAGAAACGAGAAACACTGGTTTTGGCTTGATTGGGGCTACAGGTCTTATCTACCTTGGAATAGCAGTAAGTCGCAAGACTTGACAGGTGTGTAAATATAGGCATGCTTACGAGCCTGCGGACATGGGTCTGTGGATTACAGGGCACTTTTCACGCGTCGCGAATTGAAAGGCGGCCAATTGAATTCAATTCTATTAAATAACCACAAAATATAATAATATAAAAGGTAAGCAGCACGATAATTAAAAGCTATTGTCTATTCTCTTAATATAATTAGAACAGTACTAGCATCTTTCAAAAAGTTGGAGTTTTCCTTTAGTGGAAGTTGGTCGCTAAAATGCCCTACAATCCACAGACCCGTGTCCGCAGGCTCGTTACTTGGGTATAGCTATCTACAGGTCAATATAAATACCAAGTCTATCGCACAAATTCTATAGTGCGAGGATCTCTTGTCAGTATTATCTACCACAAAATTCTTCAACTGAAATTATCGTCGACCAAGAAAGAAATGCCGATAGCGCTCCCTTTGTATTTTGAATCTAATTATATATCATTTTGGTTATGCAGGTTGCCGTCCCGCAGACATCATCCCGTCTCCCTTCCCTCATAACACACCGCTAGATCCCTTCTGTTGGAGTTACACACGACTGAGATGTGCCAGTGAGTTTGGAAAAGAAGGATGGCATAATATCCGATAGCTGATGCGAAGCAAGAAGGAGCTCTGGATGCCAGTATCTATAATAGAAGTTATCCTAGGTTCAAACCGAATTGATGCCTGCAGGTAGATTGCCTACTGAGTCCACCAAGAGAGCTCAAAGCATAATTTTAAAGGCATTATAAGAAATTATATTATATGTTTTGGGAAAGTTGAAAGTCAAAGGTGTTTAATTAGCGGCCGATGCAGGCAAGAAGCGAGAGAGAGGGGGGGGGGGATGAGCCGTCCGTGTGGAGCGTGGCCTTACAACCCAAATATTTTTGGAGTAGGAGAGGAAACCTTAATGGTAATACTAGGAAATCCAGAATCTTGCTCGGGAGTAAGACTGTAAGACAACTCCAAGATCGAAAAACCTCTAAGGTGGCGATTATTGCAAAAGGATCGGACTCCACGGGAACTTCATGTGGTGTTACGTAGAAGACGGCGAACATTCATTGCGTGCTATTGAAACATTCAAATGAATTTGGAGCTCCTTATTGCCAAATACCCGCCTTCTATATCACTGACTAGAGTATCATGTGGGAGAGAGCCGAGAGACATCGAGGTTGGAGTCCCAAGTCGGCCTCTGCTAAGAGGAACAAGAAGAATTGGTCTAAGAGGAACCTGGCTTCTAACGGTAAAGGGTACTCTGCAGTTGGCTTGTAATCGAACTTATGGAGCAGTCTGTGGCAACAGGTGTACCTGTCAGCATCCTAAAAAAGCAACCCGCCTTTGGCTGTACCTTACCTCAAATCCAGAACAGTCACTATTAAAGCAACGAAGCTAGTTCTTGAAGCAGCTTGCGATCATTTCATTCTTGGCGGCGCTGTTAAAGGCAGAGAAACTTGAAACGGAGAAACTTGAAATCAAAGTATGCTGCAATGGATTATCTTTGAAGCACAACCTGCAGATGCGTGATATTGAAATATAACAAGGAGTCATAAATTTAAAGATATTCACTACTGGCAGCTCAATTTTGGCTCTGATTACAAAGACGTCAAGTCTTTGTCCTTTCCTAAAGCGGTGGACTCATCTTCCGCCCTACAACCATCTCCAAGCTTGGAGCTCCCCACCCAGCTTGCTAACCAATCCCAAGGAGCTCAAACGCAATCCCATGCAATGTCTCCTAATAAAGAGTAGCTACCGACTCTTTCATCTTGGAAAGAACTCTGCTTCTATTGATGTCTCAGTCCTCATGATCTGGCAAGATCCAGCTCCTATCCCTCTCGCTATCAAACGCTCTAAATAAACACTTCACAAGAATGACAGAGACTAGCTCTGAAACCTCTATCTACTCGCCCAAAATTTTATGCATGCTGGCCACTCTTTCTTTATCGAGAAGGTGCTGGCTTCGACTTCTTTGTCCCGCGATCTGTCGCGACATCACACACCTCTTCGAAAACCCCAAACACTTGCTCCAATCTCCCTCGACATGTCTGGGAATAACCCAACAAACTTTTGAACATCCAAAGCATTGTTGAAGATCGAAAAACGGCCCATATTCTGGACCTGCACACCCAATATCACGACGTGCGATCTCCACATCCCTCCTGACCACCCTTCCCAATCACTTCATCAAAACACAGCGAATATAAATCGCAGAGCAGAGCAAAATATATCAGAAGTTTAACCGTCTCTTAGAGTTGAGAAAAGAAGCTCGTCTTCTGTATATTTTAATGTTGAGCTCAACTTATCCTCTCAGCCTCGCCTGCCTCCTCCCTTACCTGCGGGGTCGGTGTCGGGTCACCTTCACATATCCTCAGTATCAGCTTTAGCTCATCGGCGCATCGGCTCATTTATGCCTCCATTCGCGTGGGCGGTGAGCCGAAATTTCCAGATGGGTGTTATGTATTCAAATAAGGTCTTTTCCCTCAATGCTTGAGCGCGTAAATTCGAATGCGCCCACATTTGACACGCCCAATAAGCAGAGAAGTATCCTGTATTTATTCTAGTAAGTTTCCCGTCCTCAGGAAATCGTAATCATATAAAAGCTAATCAATTTACTAGGAGCCACGATTGGGTGCCTTAACACGGCGTTAAATACGACAGTCTCAGACTCCGTAGTGGTGTGTCAGCAGCGTAAATCTAGAGTTTTGCCATTTGAAACCCTGCTCTATTTTTTTTTTTTACCCTCAGAAAGTATAGGCAAGTTGTGTCTCGTTGTGTACGTTAATGGTGGGGACTCGAGTTGCAAATTCTTGAGTTCCACAAACTTTTATATCTGCAACTTTTTTTGGCGACGACGACCTTTAGCGAGACAAAGCCTTATCCCAAGCGAACTTCCATCGATAAGAAAACAACACGGCTAGGAAAGTTCAATAGGATAGAAGGATGTTGAGAATTATTTTTGAAGTGATGCCAAAGCATGTTCATATCAAATTTCGAAATGCCTTCCCTCACGGACTTCCATTCCGAATTCATGAGCGCAGCTTTGTCATATCGCCCCTACCTAAGATGACATGCCTTTTGCGCCCCCGCTGCCTCGCCGCCAGATCTTGCGAAGGGTTGAAGCTCGAAGCTCGAGTCAATGCAACAACGGGTCCAAGTCCTCAAACAAGCACAGCGACACAAACCATATCAATCAAACAACAGCATTGTCTTGTACTGAAGTCGCCGTGTTCAACGGCATCAAGATATATAGGCTCTGCTTACCTACTTTTTGCGATTTGTTGAGATTTGTGGAATTTTGAAAGTAATCCTGATGTTGGATTCCTGGAATGGATTGCAGGCATCCACCAGCCAGCCCCTGAATATCCAGGCCGGGTCTCTACGAATCGCAGAATCAGAAGCCGCAAAGTTCGAGGTCGAAGGGTTCTCCACGTAAGCAAGTACCCATTGATCTTGCGGAGCTTACTGGAATAACAATTCAGTTTGCTAATCTGACAGCAGCAACCATTTCCTGCTCCTTCTAAGCTCCCCTCTCTTCGGCCGCCGAACCCTCTTCCACCGCCTCAGATCTATCACTAGCCAGCTTCTTTATAAAGCAACCTGAAGACAGTTGTCATTGTAAATGAGGGTGACGATGAAATGTCAACGGAGACAGCATAGGAAGTGAAGAGGAAACCATGGAGAAGGCGACGGAAACATCCTATACAGAAGCCCGGAGTCCGTGGCTATCGCGGCGGCACGGCGTTCAAGCGTCAGCAAAAGTCAACGTGGCATACACTTCGAGGATTGCCGCTCAACCGGCAGGCGTCGCCAACCTCAATCCGGCCGTGGAATCAACAAATGCGTAGCTGGATAGCAAGGTCAGCCCATTGGACTTAGGGGTAACTCAAGGCAAAGAACACTTCTCTCAGGTGCAGGCAGCAAGCTTCAAAGAGACAGAAAACCTTGATGCATATTGAAGCGTTTCTCGACACCATGGAAGTGATGGGCTGCGCTGCATTTTCAAGTAGCATACCAATTATTCGATAGTGTTCTCTTCTTTGCCACCTTGTTTACTCTAATCTAGGCCATCGAACCACTCTCGTACCACAGACTCCTATCCAGCCCATCTAAATCACCAATAACTCGGCTTCGATTCAAGGAAGTAACGGCGGTAACTAGTAGGCAAGAACGGCGTATCAAACGACTTCGTGGCAGTCAGAAGTTGTAAGGAGCATAAGATATTAGTCTCGGTTAACAAAAGACAGGAGAAGGAGTAAAACAAGTATCAAAAACCCAATACCTATCACAGTTCAGGACATCCAAAGAGAGGAAGCCAAAAAAAAAAAAATACATGTAGATTGATTTTGGAGTAGGCGGGATTCGAACCGGCATTCCACAGTCTTTCGAATCAGACTCCAATTTACCTGCATGGGAGCAACCACGAAGCACACAACCACGAGGTATGCAAAGCCGTATTGGAGATCTGAAATTTGAACCGTGTGCTTTACCGTTAAGCGACCGCCCCTTTTGTGAATTTGCAACTAAAGAGTGTATTTAGAATAACACGATTGCTGGCAGATACAATCGAAACGGGGAAGAACCGATGAATGAGGAAGGTATCGCAAAAAAATTCAATGCCACAACTTGCACCAATCTCCTCAAACTAATAGGAGAAAGGCACATAAGTAAATTTTAGAGGGAGTTTGGAGTAGACTGGATTCGAACTAGCATCTGACTGAGGTTTTGAGCCTCAGATGCACCACCGAGACACACCTGAAATTTAAACTGTGCTCTTTAACGTTCAGCTACCACCCCTTTGAATTTGTGGACGTTTGCTTACTTCGAATAGTAAGACTGATATCAGATTGTATTTGGAGCAGGAAAGAGCCGAGCCATGACTTGAAGCTGCTTTTGGGGGAGGACCGAACTCAATTTCAGATGAATAAAAGCACAGAAACTGATAGCGCATGAAGCGAAAACGGCAGGAATTAAAGGGGGAGAGAGGGAGAGAGGGAGAGAGGGAGAGAGAGCTTTTTTTTCTTCGCAAGTATATCTCTAAGGATTCCACTTCCCATTCTGTACTTGAAGGCATTTTCTAACATTCAACCAAGGCGCTTTTGTTTTCGGAGGCCGAGCACGAACTCGTGGAGGATCAACTCAATTAAATATGAATACATACACGTCACTTGGCCTTCTTCGCCGCAGCCCGCTCAGCAGCCTTCCTCCCACTCTCCGTATTCAGTCCAACCCCAGCCAGAAACATCATTCTCATTGTAGCTCCGGCATACACGAACGCCACATTCCCCCAATCCATTGCATTCCACTTCAACACGTTCCAGTATACCTGGTGTCCCAACTCTTTAATGCTGTAAAGATGCCCGAAGTCTGCCACCAACAATCCGAACAAGACCGTTCTCCAGACTCTGAGATTGGATGTCGAGCGTAAGACTAGAGCTTCATTGATCGTGAAGAGGAGGTACAGATTTGCCAGTTGAGAGAGAACAACCGAGGTTGAGAGGGGTATGGTGCCGACGTTTGCAGGCGCAGAGGCAGCATGTGTCATTCGCAGATAGTCCAACTGTCGAAAGTGTGCAAAGAATGCGCCGACGAGTGCCGCGATGGGCTCTATCACAAGGAAAAAGGCGGTGTAGAACCTGGGGAGCGTGAAAGCTGGGGATGTCATTGTGGCTCTGGAGGGGTCTGGGCCGTCAGGTTGCGTCTGAAGGCTGCAGAGTGGGATGTGTGATACCGTGAAGAATCTGTCGGCCAACGGAGGTGAAGAATTCGATTATCCCTTACTGGTTGAATCATCCAAACCGTTAAAGCTGATGGAGCTGAGGTTGAGGTTCGTCGGTACCCCGTCCCCGTCTCCCTTGGCTTGAAGTTGGCTGAGACTTGAAACGAGAGATCCCTGATTTTGTTCCTGATCATCAGCCGGGATTGTAAATGACAGCTATTTTCATGCGCCACAGCGCACGGGATTCTTCCAGCTTCCAATTGGGGCCGGCCGTCGTCCTGCAGGATTGCAGGCTGGAAAGTATCGCTGAATGACAGAGCTCCTGCTCCTGAATCGCAGGACACATTGCAGATCGCTGCGGCGCGGCGACGCTGCGACGCTGAATCGCCTCGGCCACTTACTCGTCAATGTTGGGAGCCAGAGAATGCTTTTCCTGGTGTGGCCGTGCCCTGAGCTGAGCCAGCTTCCCGTTGAGTGCGGTGCAAATAGGAGTGCTCGAGGTGCCTTGGCGAAAAGTCTTCAGTCCCTACTCTTCAGCCTTCCCAGCCTGGACTTCGCCGTTGCCAGACCCTGTTGACCGTGCTTGCAGCGGAACCAACTCCGTAAATCACTGACGTTGGCGCCGGGTGGCTAATTTGCTTGTGAGGCTTGATTATTTGCCTTCCCGTTTCCCGTCCCCAGTCCAGACCGTTTCCACATTTGGCGACCCTCCGACCGTTGTGTAAACAAGTCGCACATACTTCGCCCATCTACGGCCATCTTTCCTTTCCTTAGTTATCCCCATAGCAGCAACTCCCCACATTCTTTCACTGATTTTTGCAATATTGGATTACCTGCCGACCCGTTATTCACACGCCAGAGCGCATGAAATCCTCCTCCACGCCGCATTCCTCCATCACGACCACGACCATCCCTGCCAATGCCCTCGTCCAGTCCTTCGCGTCACCTGCGCTGATTCTTCTTCCCATCTGTACTTGAACCGGCCTGCAAGCCGTTGGACAATCTGCGAGGAATACGGCACTCGTAGCAGAGCCTCTGTCAATCGACAACATGGCTCGAGTCTTCCCAATCGAAGAATGGGCACCCGCTCAAGAACGCCGAACATCCACCAATTCCTATCGTGCGACACTCGACTCCTATGGTATACCGAACCCTATGACGCCTTTTAGGAGGCGCCTGCAATCAATGCCTCTGGTTCCAACCGACGATGAGCTGGCGAGCGGGGTGCAAGGGCTGTCCCTTGGTGGCAATGAAAATCTCGATGTCGAAGGCAAGAAGCACGGAGGGTTTCGTGGACTGTTGAGGAAAGCTTCAGCATCTATGAGAACCAGAAAGCGCCGACACTCTCATGTAGTAGCCGCGGTAGATCGACCACAGACCGCGTGGGGAAAGTTAAGGACGGCTACCAGCTTCCACCGACACTCGAGACTCATGCCAACGAGCTTCGATAATGAAGGACCGTTTGACTCACACGAAGAGCTGCTCTCACCAATCCCCGGAATTGGAAATGCGCCTCCAATCATCCCACATGGTTCTGGAGGTGCCGCGGCGCGGGCAACTGCGGCAGCCCAGAACGACTATTTCTTCAGGAATCGGCAGTACCTTATGGTTGACGAACATCTAGGAGACAGGGAGAGTGGAATTGGAATAGCGATCACAACTGCTGATGTCGTAGAGTCAACGGAGGATGTCTCTAGCAATGGCATCAGTCGCGTCGATTTCATAAAGCACCTGCCCTCAGAGCTTGGAATCCAGATACTCAAGCATGTAGACCAAGAAACCCTTCGCAATGCTGCGTTGGTTTCCAGGCGATGGAATACGGTGAGCGTGACGGACGACATCTGGAGAACCGTGTTTTTGCGCGATCAGACAAAGACATACGCCACCAGCAAACCTGTACCTCTTGGGGCTGGCCTTGGACTGCCGTTGAAAGGTTCTGATTGGAAGGAACTATACCGGATTCGAGAGAATCTCCATCAAAACTGGGTAGCTGGAGCTGCTGAAGCAATCTATCTTAATGGACATATGGACAGTATCTACTGTGTGCAATTTGACGAGTAAGAGCACTACTCACCAGAGTAGAAGACCGAGAACTAACGCTTTACAGGAACAAAATAATTACGGGCTCTCGAGACAGGACAATCAGAGTATGGGATATGAGGACTTACGAATGTCGCTTGGTCGTTGGACCTCCAGAAGTTGTCAGCAATCCAGATATCTTGATCGGAGATGATGGTGCGCCAGCCCATTATGCTATCATGCCAGACAGCAACCGAGCAGCGGAATCCACCCCAAAGACTGTCTCATATCCGATTTACCATAACCAATCGATATTGTGTCTCCAGTACGACGAGGAGATCCTGGTTACCGGCTCATCGGACAGTACTTGCATTGTCTACGACATCAAGGACAACTATAGGCCAGTTCGGAGACTCCAACACCATACCGCGGCTGTGCTTGACCTCGCCTTCGACGAGCGCTATATTGTCACGTGCTCGAAGGATGTCACTATCTGCGTTTGGGATCGAGAGACCGGTGCAATGTTGAAGCAACTCCGAGGTCATTCTGGCCCAGTCAATGCTGTACAGATGAGAGGAAATACCGTTGTCAGCTGCAGTGGAGATTTCAAGGTGAAACTGTGGAACATTGATACTGGCAAGAACATCAAGGAGCTCTCTGGTCATACTAAAGGTCTTGCTTGCAGCCAATTTTCGGACGACTCGAGATTTATAGCTTCTGCTGGCAACGATAAGATCATTCGTATCTGGGACGCCAATACCGGAGTATGTTTGCGGAGTATCGCAGCTCACGACAACCTGGTCAGATCTCTGCACATCGACTCAGTGAGTGGAAGGCTAGTCTCAGGCAGCTATGATCAAGATATCAAGGTATTCGACATGAATACGGGATCACTCCTCCTGGACTTCCCAAAATGGCACTCGAGCTGGGTTCTTGGGGCCAAATCAGACTATCGGCGCATCATCAGTACCGGACAAGATCCCAAGATCCTCATCATGGATTTCGGTATGAATATCCGAGGCATCGAGAAACTGGAGAGTTGAGATAAAGTGTACAACAGCGGAGGCGTAAAATGGCGGGCTAGATGCACGAAGCAATTCAGAGGTGGCCCGAGGGCAATCGATACCCAGTTTCTTTTGTCGAGAAGGGTGTTGGCATGAATCAGGGACAATCATGACGAGCGCTGGAAGCATTAACGATGGTGATAGTTATTTAGCATGCATGGATTGCGAGGTTTTCTTGCCAACTTAATGAGTCTACCCGTAGGCATTAATGACAGACATTGTGGAAAAGTTGATCTCATGTGATTGATTCGTGAGACCTTGAACGTGCACTGTGCCGTGAGGAGATATTTCAAATAAAAGCTTTGCGCTCAATGACGGCAGTTTGTTATTTGTCCGACGTAACTTTAGCTGCTATGATAGCTAACTACCATCCTGTATACCTTGAAAACCTGGCTTTTGCTCTTTGCATTTGCACCTGCTCATGCGGCCCCTGGTTTCACGTCTTCTCCCTGAAGCTCACCTCCCATTTCCCCGAAACGAGTAGAAAGGAGAAAATGCCACAGTCACGTGATACTAACATATTCTGTTTTATTGGCCGGTTTAGCGACGCACACAATCTACTGTCCGCAGAAATTCGACCCTCAATTTCGCGAAATCTCGAAAACACTCCCTCTCACGACAACCACAAATATGAGTGCCCTCAACAAGATCGCGGCCACGAGCCCATCTCGCCAAAAGCCATCCGAGCTCGAGACCAGCATTGCTGGCGCTCTCTACGACCTCGAGACCAACACCTCCGACCTGAAGGCCGCACTGCGACCGCTTCAAATCGTTTCCGCAAGAGAGGTGAGCTTTTGAATTAATCCGATTCCAGTCCAGCAGTGGCTTGCAGCCTACACGACCGAGCAACGACGAGGCGACGTCGGCAGACCTACATGCTACATCATACCTGCGATATACTGTGTTTGGATGTCGACGGTGTTACATATATATGCACACATACGCCGAGTTGTGTTGTGGAATCGGACGGGTTGCGGTCCATTGTTTCCTCTTCATCATTGAAGGGAATCACTTGGAGCTCGCATGCTGATTTTTGATCGTGTATAGATTGAAGTCGGCCACGGCAAGAAGGCTATTGTCATCTTTGTCCCCGTTCCTTCCTTGCAGGGTTTCCACCGCGTGCAGCAGAGGTATGTCGCCTTCTCCCTCTCACCTCCCGACTCGCTTGCAATGGGAATGTGATGCTGACGAACGCACGCCAGACTCACCCGTGAGCTCGAGAAGAAGTTCTCCGATCGCCACGTCCTGATCCTCGCCTCGCGCCGCATCCTCCCCCGCCCCAAGCGCTCCAACCGCTCGCGCACCTCGCTCACGCAAAAGCGCCCCCGTTCCCGAACACTCACTGCCGTCCACGACGCCATCCTCACCGACCTCGTCTACCCCGTCGAGATCGTCGGCAAGCGATTGCGCACCAAGGAGGATGGAAGCAAGATCCTGAAGGTTGTGCTCGATGAGAAGGAGAAGGGTGGTGTGGATCACAGACTCGATACTTACTCTGAGGTGTACAAGAAGTTGACGGGTCGTGGTGTTAACTTTGAGTTCCCTCAAGGCGGAGCTGTTGAGTACTAGATGCGGGGAAAAGTCTTACGGCATGGGAATTGAAGGGCTTGTGCTACGGATCGCTTTTCATGATATTTGGGAGGCGTAGCAAGGTCATTCAAGATAGATAGACTTGCAATACCAAAAGCTTGTCATCGCCAATTTCTTTCGTCTCATGTCGTCCCGTGATTGGACTTATGTGCAAATATCAAATGGGTATATTGCGCCTTACATTTAATCCACAGCGACCTTCCCCAACCCAAGCACACACCAATAAGCCAGCTCCCTCTTCTCCCTAACCTCCTTCTCCTTCCCTCCGCCACCCAACCCACTCTCCTCCCCGCCAACCTCTCCCTCCCACTCAACCCTCACAAAAACCGGGATCTCAACCACCTCCTCCCCATCCCTAACATTCCCACTATCCCTCTTCATCTCCTCACTCTTCAGCCACTCGGAGCCCCCAATCCGCAGACTCGGCGGCACAACCTCGACCACCACACTGACCCAATTCCTCCCCCGTTCCCATACTTTGCCGGCTTCAGCTTGGTGCTGTCCTTCACTAGCTTCCGCTTTGGTGCGGCGCTTCTCGCCGCTGAGAGAGGAGCTTTTGTGGTTATCCCGCAACGCTTCATCCCAGACATCCGTATTGGCTCCAACTTCAAACTGTGGACATAGAACTGTGACTTTCGTAGGAAATCGGCCAGGAGTTTTGGCTGGTGTTGCGACTGTTACTTTCACACTATCGAACAAGGGATTCTTGAACGTAAGTAGAAATTGTACCGGCTTCAACGGTGCCAAGAGAGGGGATGCGGTTGGTAGCGGGGGTTGGAGAGGTTTGATGGTGATGCTGGGGATGTAGTTTAGTGCTACGAGGCGGATGCGGAAGCGTGTTGTTTGGACTTTGGATTCGGGTTTCGAGAGGATGTGCCGGCATGTTTTACATCGCTTTGAACGTTTTGTGCGGAGGAGGTAGGCGATGGGGCGCAGGTCGGAGAGGAAGGGAGTGTGTGTTGTTTGTTCGTGTCTTTGTTCAGCAGAGGCGGTACTTTCCCATCCTTCGGTTCTAAGCTTGGTGATTGCTTCGTCGGAGGAAAGGGGGTCAATTTGGAGACCTTCTAGGGCGTCCCGCGCTTCTCTCATGGTACCGGATTTGGTTTTCGACTTCTTGTCTGCGAAGCTGCCGCCTGTGTAGAGTCCCATTATTCGTGATAATGCTCCTGGTGATCCATAACCATAGTCTCCAGTAAAGCCCAGCGCACTAACAGGAGAAGACTCCGCCATCTGTGTCTGATAGAACGCCTTCAGATTCGAGAATTGACTCTCAGGATCTAGCCTCTCATTCGGATCCAGATTGATAGGTGCTTCACTCTCCTGGCTCTCTTCTGCGGCCGATGATCCAGAGAAATCCCGTTTCCGCTCCTCGCGATCTTTCCTCCTGTCCTTAGCTGTGAGAATCGGCAGCCCTCCATTCTTTATTTTAGCCAGCTGCGCAAATATCCCATTCGGCTTCTCGAACTGTATCCCGATCTCCTTGGAGCTCCACATGCAGTAGGCGCAATTCAAGACGAAAGGGCCATTCTGCTGGGATGCAAGTTCTGCTCCCAGGCCCTGTGGCGGAGCTTCGAGACTGCTGACTGAGAGGGGTGCGACACATATTGGGCATTGGAAACAACTTCGTGTACATCTATAGTACGCCATTAGCTCTGTGCTTCTTGTGGCATGATGGGAAAGCTACCGATTCCCCTCCGACTTCACAGTACTGCTCGGCACCTCGAACAAACAATTCGGGCAGTACCACGTCACTATCTCATCTAGCACACATCGCGGACACCGTATCTGGTGGCAATCTTCACAATATAGCAGGTGTTCGAGGGGGTATAAGCTGTAATTTGACCGTGGAGCTCGCGGATCAAAGGTTCGGTCGTCGTCGGAGTTTTCCTCGGTTTCTGGAGGTTGTTCGTCTCCGAGATTTCGACTGGGTATCGAGGCGTCGGTACAGGGGCATTTAAAGTAGGTGTAGGGCGTAAAGGAGGCCATCGTGGGTGGTGGGGAGCTGTGGAGGAGGGGGACTTTTTGGAATGTTGCGCTCCCTTCAGGGAGACGCGCTAGACAGGGGTGGTGTTGCTGCTCAGGATTTCGCGGTCATGAGCTTCATTTCTTCTTCTTCCGATTCATCACATTTTTTAAAACAAAAGTAATTCCTCGTCTTAAAATATCAAACTATTGAATGGCTGTTCTAGTGGTAAGTGGGAGTTTCATTCAGGATTTCGCTCTCACAGTAAGTTTAGTCTGAATTGCTTCCAGAAATTTCATTCCAACCTTGAACCTTCCTTTCGAGACCGGACATTATAATACAGACATTAAAATTACACAATATCATAAGTCGTTGTTTCCCGTCAACGCTGAAGACACAAGGAATTCCAAAGTTAAAGAGTGTACAGGGTATATGGGTAATGAACATCCAACAAAAGAAAGGGTTGCTTTTTCAAACCCTTAAGCATCAAGATAGGCCAACAACTCATCATTGGCCTTACCACCCTTGTCCTCCTCCCACTCAACTTTCACCTCTCTGGTGACTTTCATGTACTGCTCCTCTACATTCTTCTTCAACTGTAGTGGATCCGGTGGTAAGACGGACTCGTCGTATACACTGCTTGGTACTCTCACAAGACCGAGCGAACTCATAGGTCTATCCAAGAACTCCTTGATGGACTTCTTTGACTCCTCAGTCCCAGAATCAGATCCTCTCCTGCTGCCGCTGAAACTTGTAGTTGGACTGTCCACATCATGTGCTTCGCCAGAGGTGTTCGACCATCTTGACGAGAGATCCTCTGTGGATGATGATCCAGACTCTGATGATAGCTTTCGAGGAGTGCCTTGTTCGCCATTGGTGTTTGCAGGTGCTGCGGTAGTGCTGACAGTGTTCGTGCCATTGCCGTAACCATGGACAAGAATCTCGTAATAGGACGCTCGTTGCGGTCGAGGATGGATAAGCTCTGGCATGTTGCCGAGCGTGGTGAGCGCTTTTTTCACTGTGTTCTTGGTTGACTTTGATGAAGATATCGAGGCAAGGCTGGAATAGCTGGAGTCTCCCTTATGTTGGCTCTTGTGGTTAATAGCTCGGTAGTCGATGTCGGGCTTGATCTCATTTGGGGACTTCTCGGTTTCTGCGTCTATTTTCAACTGCGCTTGGAAGTCAAGCTTTGTCTGGTCGGTCTGTGTTCGGAGGAGAGTCTCCAAGGGCCTCTCTTCTTTCCACGGTGGGCAGCCGGCAGTAAGGACACAGATGTTGTAAGGCACATTTTGGGTATCGCGAACCTGTTCAGGAGGGATTGTTGCTGAACGCAGTGTCTGGAGAGTCGCGTAGATCAAGATCCAGCGGACTTTTCGAGCATCAGAATGAGAGAGCTTATCGTTCTTCTCAATTTTGGAATTGGAGAAGTTGCATTCTTTCTCAAAACCTCGGTATGCTCGAACGAGTGTGCAGTCAAAGAGGGATTGGTCCATGCGATTTGTGGCCTTGCACAGAGAGGAGAATGCGACCAAACTTGGGTCAGGCCTCATCTTGTTGGCCTTTGGCACAAAGCTAAATCGCCTGTTGAGGGAAGATCTCTGGGTGGCCTTTTCTTCCTCGGCTTCTGGGAGGAGGGGTAATGGGTGAAGCAGCGGTATGTACTTGTGACGTTGATTGAATGAATCTAGAGTTTGCTGGACACATATGCCTCCTTGGTGTGACAGTGGTAGAGTATCCGATGAGGTAAAGTTGAAATCGACAAGGTAATTGTATAATTTCTGGAACTCCTGGCACATCTGACCATAGATATTCTTTGGGAAAGACGCACTTCGCGCCTCGCAGGATGCTGGTGGGTAATAGCCAAGTTTGGCTACATAGTATGACTGAAGGAATGACCGAAACCTGTCCAGGTGTGATCGAGCAGCAGGCGAGAGTCCAAGATGGGTTTCTGATAAGTCGTCGGAAAGGAATGAACCAAGTTTTCTGCCGCAATTGTCTAGTCGCATATCCATTTCGAATCGAGAACGGGTGACGAGTGCACGTGAGGTCCTGCTCATAAACTTTAGAGGGTTAGCAATGTTCGTGCTGATGGTTTGAGGCGGCTTGACATACCTCAAATCCAAGGCTGTTGATCAGTTTCTCGTTCATGCCAGTGCAATGTGCAAATGCATCGATCCACAAGTCCCTGAAACGGAAATGCTCTGCGAAGAACAGGATTGCGAGGGCATGGTCCGGCTGACTCCTCATGTCTGCATATCCTTCCTCGTCCATGTAGTCCATTATCGCTTGGACGTTGTCCTCTCCTGCAGATCTGAACTGGCTCATGCTGTTCAGCAAACCCACGAGAGCAGCGCCGAGATGGTTTCCAACAAGAGGCTTTCCAAATATCCAAGCAAAGAAATTGCGTGTTGCCATGTGATACAAGAAAGCTTCTTTTCGATCGGCATCGGGTGGTGGTGGGATGTAAAGCTCATACATTCTGGTACTTGCTTGGCTGAAGCAGCTATCTTCGAAACTATCTTCTGACGATGGTGACGCCTTCCCGGCCGTAACCAAGAATCTGTCCACGAGAGGCTTGCATCGAGTCGCGAGAAGTCCTTCCATAGGAACTCGGAAAGCTGGACCTCTTCTAGATTGACCTCGTCCATATAAGTGGACGATGCAGTTTGCTTGAGGATCCCATAATTCTGGATCCTGTGGAGAAGTTAGTCATGCTGGATTGAATTGTATATGAACGGGAAAACATACCTTTCTGAGGGAATCCCAATCTGATGATTGTCGTGCGGCGCCATCCCACCTTCTGACACTCGCATCTCTTGCAGTTGAGCCCAAGCCCAGGTTTCTTACTGATGTTCTCTGTTTCCAGCCATTGGGCCTTTCTGAAACCCCTTTGTATATTGAAAAACTTTTTGAGCGGGAGGATTCTGTTCTTTCTGTAAGGCTTGCGGGTGTTGGGAAGGTTGAAGTTCTGGAAGGAGGCCGAGCCATTGTTAAGGCCATATTTAGTGATATATTCATCCTAGCGAACTACAACGACGTATGATTTTCTCGTTGCCGTGTTGCGTCACTGCTCCCAAAGCTGCGAGGTTTGGGTGTTTGACAGTAATAAAGACGTCAAGTTGGGAGGTGCCAAAGGCGAGAGCTAAACCTTACGAGTTCGGCAATTTTAGGGGACCGACTGAGAGTCGAGCGCATCCAGCAGCAAAAGAATCGATTCGGAATGACTCAATGGGATCTAAGATCGAAGGGAAATTCATAACCTTAAAAGTAGAGCCGATTGATGAGATCACGGGAAAGGAGGAAGAAGAATGGAGGGGAATCGATTTCTTCTAATATGTATGCACATGTCTCACCGGCCCTCCGCTGCGAAGTGGCCCTGCAGGGAATCCCCGATTAAACTATTGATAAGAGCGGGATACTAGGAACCCACATGCACCAGTATCTCATTCAGCTTATTTGCAGGGTTCGGCTTGGGGAGCCACGTAGGTTACCCATTATTCCCATTGATCGAATCACGAAGCTTGAAGCTTGGGGAGTTTTGTGGCTGGGGCTGAATGCTGGGCGGCTGGCGGTGGAGAAGGGTCTCAAGCACGCCACATGAGTTTCTGGGTCGCACAAGCCTGTCGCCTGGCTCATCTCATATGCATGGGATTTGCACACCTCAACCCAAAATTGGCAATTGTTCCTACCGCTTCCAGAACGGACTTCATCAGGCTCGAGCGCTCGAACAATCGAAATGGTGGTTGTCAAAGCATCGAGGACGTCTTTCTCTTCAGGGGGGCGTTGGCGTTCTTCACCATCTCGAGTGAAGCAACCTCCGTGAAATCATACTTACTGTACTGAACAGTGAAGAGACGACTTTGAAGGCGCATCGCGGGTGCGGGGCATGTCTTGGATATCATGATCCCGTTCTGGTAGCATGACTAGGATGACTTGCATGCCAGCGAGCACCTATGAGAAGTTGAGAACAGCTGAGCGATACTGAAGAAGGGGAGGGGCACGCACGGAGCTCCAAAGGCTTTGAGGATTGGCCGTCTACCATCTCCCGTCTCCCGTCTCCCTTCTCCCGGCTCAGTCAGAGTCTCAGCCGCTTTGGCACACCGCCGCTGACTCGCTGAGAGCATGATTTGGAAGAAGAGTGTGCGGAAGTGAAAGGCTGCGAGGCTCCAAGGATCCACACAAGGCCCCCCGGGAAGGTGGCTTGCGGATCTCGAGGTCATTGGGCCCCTTAACACATCGCAGATGTTCAACCTTGCAGCAATGCCGCCCGATCGGGACGCTCACCAAGGATCAAGAAGGCCAATCTTTTGACCCATGCTTCCTCGGGACACCCCACCTGTTTAGCGACCGCGGCCTCGGCCGCTATCTAAAATTGGGCCATCTGGGCGTCGAGATGGCTCTGTGCGCGCCCACGAGCAACAGCTTGGGGAAAGTCTCCGCTACATCGTGGCATGAACATGAAGGCTTTCGGAGAGGCAGCTACTCTAGACATTCGAAAGCCTTCAGCAGAACTTTTCCTCCGGAGTCCGCCATGTGCCCCCATGCCAGAAGACAGGACTTCCCCCACATAACTCCGTCCTCTGGTGAGCCACAGCACAGCCAAACTTTCGCATGGGGCAGCTTTGCGTTGCAAGGTTATGAAGGCTGTCCCGCCCAGCAATGCAGCGAGTGATGACGCCTGCCGTTCCGCATCGCCGACCATGAGAGCGCTCGGCGGAGGTCGAACACCCACGCAGAGTTCAGAATTGCGTCAGTTATGATGGTGGTGGTGGTGGTGGTGGTTGTGTTGAGAATGTGAGAAGATCATCGCTGCAGAAGTCGGTTGTAAAGTTCCAACCTTCTGGGGATGACCTCTCCCGCGTATGTATTGTCACTGGAGGCTTGGATCGTGAATTCTGATGGGCCACCCATTCGTCATGGACCAGGTCGATCATTTCTTATCTTCATTATGTTTGTCAGTTTGACAGCTGCTTCGATGCGACCGAAGTATGCTTCAACCCTAAACGGAGTTACCGCCGGAACATCCTGTGCGGCCACTGATGTCATGCTTGAAGGCGAGTGTGAATGCATGAATCCTCTCTGTCGACCACGGCCGACGGGAAGCTTGAAACCCATTTATCGAAATGTGAAGCCTGTGCTTGTTGATTGCTTTCAGGTGTCCACTGCTGGAAGGTGGTCGTCTTTTAATATTAGAATTTGAAACTCAAACAATCTCAATTGTCTGTTGCTCGCAGTCATTAAACTAATCACGACCTCCCTCGTAAGGACTATGACAAAATGCTAATCCAATATGCCCAAAAGTGAAGTTGCTATGATTGCCAACTTTGTAAACTTTGTAAACTATTAGCCCAATCCATTTCGTATAGGCGTCATAGTCGGATGAGTAAGAGAGCCGCAACTTCAAGAGTCTCGCAATCCTCAACGTAGCAGGGATACCTCGAATAGCCAAACAGCAGTTGCGCAATCCGGATATCTATACCACTCATGTCGTGAAGCTTGACTATCTTGTGTTCTAGCTGGTCTCTTGGAACTCCTTTTCACCAAGCCTCTCTTTAACCTGACACGGACACAGAGCGTGCCCCCGGCGACTTTGCTAAAGGGGTCTAAACTTATTGGAGTAGCGCGAATAGAAAGGACTTCAAAGTTCCCAATGTGATTACGGGTTCTTGAGCGAAAGAGTACTTTGGAATTGGCGGATGCTTATGATTATGAAGGCGCTCCCGAGGCTGGAATGTCGTCTTTGGAAATGTAGCGTCTTGATGTCTCTCTCGCAACGTAGGGACTCAATATCTCAACGGCATGTTAGCAATGCCAAGCTAGTCCGGCGTCAATGTCGCTTATCCATAAGCCCACTGCATAAGTGTCGTTCAAGATTGGTGACAAAGCCTGGGCCAAGCCAGAAAGTGCTGGGAGCCTGTCGATCGTCTTGTTTAACTCGCAACCTGGGTATGTCTGCACAAGATCGTACCGTAATCTAAGGCAATCGGGATGCTATCCAGACTTCTGATTGAACGCTTGTTAACCATGTTAATGTTTTATATGATTCGGGTTATATGGATCATACAGGTCGTCTGAACGACAATGCGTCGTTCATTCCCACACTAAGCGCCGGGTCCGGAATGATAAAGTGCGCTCAGAGTGTAGTCTTTCTTGCAGGACCCATCCTCTGGTAAATAGGCGCGAATGAGATCCATAGATGATGTTCTGCCTTCTCCAAGAGGAATATTCCATAGTGGTGGGGATGATGGAGTGCTCGTCTTTGTTATTGTAGGGGAGTTCAAAAGAGCCGTATTTAGTTGGAAAGTAGTCATGTAGAAAGCCCTTCGAACTGTCGGTTGCACCTGGGGCGGCAATTGTAACCAATGCGCCAGCGTAGATACTGGCCATTCGAGAGCACTCGCGCTCCCAGTCCTCGGCAGAATTCTGAATGATACAGAGAGAATCGATCCAAAGATACTCTACGCCAAGGTGCTTGGTGACCGTGACTGCATCCTGGAAGGGTTTTGGAAGGTCGCGGAATAATATGCTTTGCTTATGTGCTTCATAGTTCTCCTTGTTTGTACATAGAGGTTGATATGCTCCTCGGCAATGACTCAGTGCTCTATACCTCTTGGCGGACGTGTCGGGAGACTCGACAAGTCGAACTTGAGCCTCCCCCCCCCTGAAAAGTAGATGGACAATAGCCAAGTTGAAGATATGGCGTTGCTGTGCTGTATGCATTCTGTTTGTTCAGATACGCATTGATCTAACCATTCCTGAGCGAGGTTGAGAGAGTGACAAAGGCCTTCCAATCAACCGAGTAGAGTTTTGGGAGAGTTGTCTGCGGCAGAAGATATTAGAATTGCTCCACAAGATTGACAATCAGATACTAACAAGACGGCGTCTCGAATCGGAAGAATGGGCCATGATTACCATCATCAGAAAAATCATAATCCGGACCCCTGGTATCGTCGCCAATATCCGACGTACACGCGGCGATAGTAGAACCCACTCAGAAGAGTTTTATTAGACAGAATATCCAGTCCGTCTCCAGGATATGTTTGATGCTGTACAACAAAAAAAGCTTTGGAATAAGAAGTATCCTTTAGGAGGCATGAATCAGGTCTGGCAAGCGGCCGACCCCACTCGCGGAACTGGCCCGTTGCGCCATTTGTACAGTTTGTTTGCGTGAGTTCCGGCCCAGTCCAGCGGACCATTCTTGAGGAGAATGTATAATCCCCATCCTTCTAAGGCTGACTTGCAGAGGTTGCCGTAAGTTTGATGATGTTGGAGCCATTCGCCCTCAGGTTTTAGAGGTACGATTTTCCAGTCCTGTCTACTGATCTTCTGGCAAAGTTTACAAAGCGGCATGGCCATGGCTCGAATTTGGCAACCAATGGGTGTTGAAGGGAACGCGAGATCCACGTAAAGGACTTTTGCCGTTTGGATTGAAGCGAGCGACTGAAGGCTTGGACTCGTGAGTAATTGGTTAACCGCCCCCAGATTGTACGCGTAAGGCCACTCCGCATCTAGCAATTGCCAACGACTGCGCTTGCACCTCATCACAGACACACTTGACACCAGGGCAAGGTGATTTAAGTCAAGGTATAGGGCAGCAAAGCTTCCAAGGTCGTTGCAGATGTGATCTGCTTTGTCCCTTTCCGCGTGAGCCGGGGTGAGGTCTGCCAGAGGTGAAGTGGTTGATGATGAGAGGTCGAATGAAATATCTAGGCCGGGGAATTGACCGTGGTGGGGTAGATCAGGGACTATGCTGTGATAATTCTAGAGATGCTGTCGGGAAACTAGGAGCTTGAACCCACTGCGAGGGGCAAGAGTTCAATGAATTTTGAGAAGTGTTCGCGATCCACTAGGGTTGACTGAGGCGAAGGAAAGCTCGGTTTTTGTCGCTCGCTCATACCTCAAGGTCGTCTGTTTCCAACTTGGTGGATGTGCGTGAGATATTAATTGCGGCGAAGTATCTACCAAAGGCGGCGGGACATGCTTTGCGCTCGAGTCCGTCAAATCAATAGACTGGCTATTGAATCCTCCAGAAAACCATACTCGACAATCCGATGGAGTCATTCGGCGTGTGTTGAGCTTGAAACCAAACGGATCTGCATTGTCCTAGATTTTTCATCGTTTTTAGACCTGACCAGAATAGCAAGGTTTTTGGCCAAAGTTTGGCTGACCCTTCCCGCACCCTGCAGCCGCCTTGCAGATTGAAAATCGCTGAGGAGGTCGTTCCTGAAGGAGTTTGAAGATGATGCTAATAAACTGAATGTATACATGAGATGAGAATACATTGGCCAAGGAATATTAGAAGTATCCACTAGCCAACCGCCCAAACCCCCATCCGCCCACCCCAAAAAAATCGACTTTTAATTAACCCTTTATTATAATTACAAATCCTATTAAATAATAATGTCCCATAGTATTTTCGATATTCTAATAACTTTATATTCATTTTAACCTTGTAATACGGCTAGAATCGCCTGTAAGGTAGTGATTTTGTGATTTTAGTATATACTATACCTGTAATGGGCATACGTAATGGCGCATGGACAGGTGTCAGATGTCGTGGATCTAGTTTCCTATTTTGGGTAAAGCTTGCGATCGGAATCGTACGGATCGCATGGGATCGTGTTTCCTAGTTAAGTAAAGTGCTTCGCAGGCTTGGCTAAATACTAGGGAATATATAGGGAGACGCTCCTAGCTTTGGAGAGGGGTATTAATTAGTCTTTTATTGGAATTAATTCTTGGAATCAGTTATACTTGCAAGCGTTACTCTATAGCTTACTTACCTTAATTACTTATATATTACCCTGCCATTATGTGCCTTATATTCTAATTAATTTGTTACGCTCTGCCGCTTCACTAGTAAATTTAGCGTCACGTGATTGCGATGACGCATGCGGCTGGGGCTAGTATTTAGAACACCAAAGCTCCCGTACTCAAGAGCTTCTCTCTTTAGTTTAGAATCCTCGGAATAGAGCCACTCTACCTTGCTTTCCAAGCCCAGAGACCCGGTCTCGTGACATAATCCAATCTTCAGGGAGCAGTTCATTATAAGGTAGTTAAACTATTAATAGACAAAAATATTAATAGCTAGAGTATTAATTAGAAGAAGCGCCTCTACTACTACTAGGGTAATCCAACCGGGTACCCAGGAGAGTACCTAGTCAAGTACTCTTTATATTACCTAATTAGGAAAAGGAAGTAGAACTCAGACGCCCCTAGAACTAGCTAGTAGAATAATAATAACGGAGAAATTAGCGGCGGCTTACTATTATATTACTAAGTTAGAAGTAGAGATATAATAGAGAGAAGATCTAGAAGAGCTAGAAGCTCAGATCTATTATTTTAAAGATATTTAAATACCCGGTATAGAACCCGTTATATCTCTGGTAGTACCCTTGGTTTAGAAGGCTCTAAAAATCTGAGAACTGCCCATTTACTAGGGAAAGAGTATTAAAGAAGCCTAGAACTTCTTTTATTAGGTAAAGTTAAAATAGTATAAAAATAGTAGAATTATATAGGCTACTAATATAGTAAAGGTTATATATTATACTTCCTATTTTAAGAATATAGCCAGGGATATCTAAAAGTATAGAAAGTAATTAGTAGATATTAATATTATAAATTAAGAGACCTTTATTAAGTTTATAAAGAATTCTATCTTAAATCCGGAAAACTATAGTAATAATATTTTTACTAAGTTTAAAAATATTAAATAATAGCTAGGCTAGAGTATTTAAAGCTTTATATCTTACTTAAATAGCCTATTAGATAATTTAGGATATATGAATTTACTATAAAAGTAAAATAACTTATTTAATAGCTTGAAATAAAAGATCCGGAATAAGATTAATTATTAAGGAAATATTTTATAAAAGAGAAAAAAGCTTATTTCTATTATTATAAGAGTTAAGAATAATTTGAATTTATTTATTTAACGGAAATATAATAAAGAGCTAATAAGATAGTAAAAGAAAGAAAATAAGAGAAAAAAGAAAAGAAATAATAAAGGGAAATAAAAAAGAAGTATATTTCTATTATAAGATTTATAAAACCGGAATAATAAAGATATAGTAATAAAGTCTAATATAATACCCGTATTAGGATTTATAAAACCGGATATAATTTGCTTTACTTATTAGAAAGAGAATTATTATATTACTACTTGCCCTAATTAAGAGAAACTAACTTACTATAATTATAATAAGTCTGGCTATAAGTTATATAAGTATTTAGAACTAAAGAAGCCAGGAAATAGATATAATCTATAATAGTTATATTTATTTATATTATAGAAAATAAAGCTTTTAAAACAAGAATAATAATTAAGATTATTATTAAGATAAGAAAAAGTAAGTAAAGAATTAGAATATTAATTAACTTAAATATAGAGGCTAATTATATAAAGAGAAGATTAGCTTTAAATATAAGTATTTTATTAATATTAAAAATAATTTCCTTATTTTTATTAGAAAGAAAAAGAATTTATTTATATAGAAATTATATTCTTAGGATTATTATTAAGAATATATTAGGAAACTAAAGAAAGGCTAATATATACTTTATATTATATAATTTTAATCTAAACTATATTAATATAATACTTGAATTCTTATAGCTTTATTAGGTTAATTTCCTAATTTTTTTTTTAGGAAAGTAATATAGAAATACTAGATTTAATTATAAAAAATTAAAGTTCTAAATACTAAAAAGTTTATTAAAATAATAAAATATAAGATATATATTTTTCTATTAATTACTTATTTTATAATAAATAATTAAAGAATTATTACTACTATTACTAGTAAAATAATATAAGATATTTATTAGTAAATAATAAGATAATAGAATAAATTAGTATATTATAAAACTATAGTATTAAATTTAGTATAGAACTAATCTTTATTTTTCTTATAAGGTTTAAAGAAACTTCCTCTAAATAGGAGGCCCCAATAATATATATATAATTAGTAATTTATAAGTCTAATATTTATAATATAAATAGTAATTAGTTATAAAGTTAAAGGACTACTAATCTCTCTAATTAATACCTATAATATCCGAGGTTTATTATATGCCCTTAAGTTATATATAACTTTATATATATTATAATTATATTTCTCTCCTAGGATCTTGTCTCTAAGATTTATTAATTTATTCTAGTAAATATTTAATTAATTAATTATTTAATTGAGATAAACTTCTAATATCTTGAGAAGTAGTTTTACTAATATGATTTAAATAATAGATATAAAAACCGTCTAATTAGATTAGGGCTAAATAAGCGAGAAGGAAGAGTAATTATATTCTAGGTATAGGAGCTAGCTAGTAATTATGATTTCGTTTGGGATCTGAGTATTCTAATTGGCTCGATTTAAAGTACTAAAGTACTATTCTACGAAATTAATATTACTTATTAGATCTCGTATTAGAATAATCTAAATAACTATATAGAAAGAATTTAATAAATAATTATATAAGAAATATATTTCTGAGGTTCTAGAAATTATTTACGGGCTTCTAGAAGCATATATTAATTAGTTATACTAATTTCTAATTAGGACTAGTATAAAAACTAGTAGTTAATCTAGGTAGTTTTTTATCTCTATAAAAGAACCTCTTTATATTACTATATGCTTTCTTTCTTTTTAATAACTATATATATAATAACTTTTTCTATTATTATTTTCTAGCCTCTTTTTTTATTCTTTTTTAAGTCTTCTTTAATTATTTTTAATTAATTCCATAATATCTTTTTCTAACTTTATTATTTATTTATATAATAATAAATATAAAAGTAACTTTATAGCCTTCTTTCCTATTACTAGTAAATACTTGAAATATTTCAAGTATTTATTTATTAATCTCTTTATCTTATATATTATAGTATCTAATAAGAAGAATTATAATTATTATAATAAGAGTTCTAAGTCTTATATATTAGTAAGTTCTTTAGCTTTAATATCTATTAAAGCTAATATAATTTCAGATTTCTTACTACTTATTAAAGGCTTACTAGTTCTGGAAAGATATTATTATAATCTTTAAGAAATTTCTTAAAGCATATCCTAAATAATATTATACTAATAAGAATAATACTATTAATTGGGTTTTTAAAAACTAGAAAAATACTAATAAGCTTCGGAATTCTTTTTTCTGTTTTAATAAGGCAGATAATAATACTATTTGGGTTAGTATTCTAAAAGTGAGTTTTTTCTAATATATTTAGGTACTTACTAATTCTTTAAAAAAATACTATAATATTTATTTTTAAGATATTAATCTTATTACTAAGCTTATTACTAAGATTACTAAATAGTTTATTACTAGTATTTTAAGTACTAATAATATAATACTTATAGTTATTCGGGACCTAATTTTAGAAGTTCGGGCCTTTTATAATATATATATAGCTATTATAATATAATTATATCTCGTTAAGAAATAAGCGAATTCCGGAAAGTATTAGCTAATTCTTTATTAAGTCCTAAATAGAGCTAGTATTTAATATTCTTATTTTAGGAATTAGAAATATTTATTTATTTAAGATACTTATAGCTAGTTTACCTATAATAAATCTTTCTTAATCCTGAATCTTTTTTTAATAATTTAAATATAATTCTTATAAGCCTTAATAAAACTTTAGAAAACCTTTATAAATAAAAAAACCCTAGGAAAAAAGTATTTCTATTATTATTCCGGGTCTTTTCTTAGTTATTTAGGTTCTTTCTTTCTTTTAAGTAATCTTTTTCTTAATAGTCCAGAATTATTTTTAATCTTAAAAAGCTATTAAAAGATAGTTTCGGATTTCAAGTTATGATTTTAGTTATATAATTTTAGAAGTTTCTTGGAATTTTTAAGATTAGGAAAAGTAAATAACTAGGTATTATAATTTTTAGGCCAGGCTTTCTATTTAATTAAATACTATTACTTCTTACTTTTATTATTTTATTAGTAATTAATAATAGCTTCTATTTCCTATTCTTATTTTTTATTATTATCTATTAATTCCGGAAGTTCTTTAGAGAAATATAGGTATAGCTTCTAATTCTTTTTTATTATATACT